TAAGTTAGGCTACATAATCACATAACTGAATGTTAAGTATATTGTAATTTGCTTAGCCAGTATTATAAATTAAACTCAGGCCCTGAATTTCATTTAAACAGTTTTGGTGGAAAACATTCAGGTACAGAAATGCTGCAGAAATGGAATAAACTGTAAATTAAACAGATTAATTCTTAAAATTAAAAGTTACAAAAATTATTCAGTCAAGAGCAGTGAGTGATCTTGTCTTTTGTTAACATTAACACTGTTAACATTAACATTTGGTATGAAAGGGATTGCAGCTTTTATACCTGCTGTCTGTGTTAAAGAACAAAAAAGAAAATCACTCTGCTCTTGACTAAACTTTTTCGTATTTAATATGGAATATATAAATATAATCTATATATATGACTTTATACATCGTAGTATTTTGTTCCTGAACCGTAGAAGCTACTGTTAGTTTTAGGCTAGCCTGCCTGAAAAAGTTAAAACGCAGTTTCTTTCATTTGTATCCTTGTGCTATTGCATTGCTAGTAACTTGTTCATTTATTACTGACCGTTTAATTATCTTTATGGAACATTATTTATTAAAATGCAAGGTTATTTGAGTCAGAAACAATGAAAATTAACTTTTTCTGGAGGTGTTTGCAATGCGGCTTCATGCGCGCAGCTCTTTGGATGTGACCGTGACCGCCCAGAAAACTAGTTTGGAGCGGGCAAGTACCGAATGGTTTGAAAAGACGTGCAAATGATAAACTTGTGATGATGCAACACTGACCCGATTAGGCAAGTGGCAGTCCTGTCAGCTGAGCCAAAGTCTTGTATGGCAGTGTGCAGCAGCTCTCTTAGTGCAGACGAGATGCGCTGATGTGAGGCAATTGAGAGCGAAAAGACGCGGTACAGCTGAACCACACACGCTGTTTTCAAATGATTGACTTGATCTGATATTCTGTGAATTTTTTTTCTAACCTAAATTGTATATTAAATACATGTTTGCGGGAATTTTCCAAACGTGCGAAACCTGCGGGAATGAGTAAAACCCAAACGCGCAATCCCGCACCGAGATTCAGGACGTGATTAAACCTTCTATTATATAGAGATTTGTCAAATACATTTCCACGACTTTTCCAAAGCTTTCTGGAGTTTTCATGACCGCACGAACCCTGTAAATGGCTCTTTTTATTTTTTTTAAATAGTTGAGAATTTCTGCTCCACTTTGTGTGGAGGTAGTGAGACAGGACAAAGTCCCTGTAAGATTTTCGGGTATTCTATAGTCTTTGGACTGGAGAGAGAGCTCAACTCTTCAGATTAATTTAGTGGAACATTAATATAATCCGCTGTTACGAATTGAGGCGTGAACATGTGAGAATGTATCATTATCTTTGTAAATGTGCGCTCTTTTGGGCTAAAGGCTTAATTGAACTGTTTAAAGTAGCCATGTGATCACAAATTATTCGGCGCAGCGCAGATGTGATTTTAATACGCGTGTCCTTTTTCTGTGAAAACAAATTCCAGTTTATGCTGTTTGATTATGGGTTCGTAGTTGGAAGCTGTTAGCCCCGACTGACCCGTGTGCGCGGTTGAAATGCGGCTGATAATTTCTGACTGGCACATAACTGAACAAATGTAAACGGGTTAAGGCGGGGCCCCAGCCCGTTTAAGCCCAATGGAAAGTCTGGCCATGGTAGTGAGGCATTCAGTGATCTGCTTTTTCTATCATGTGTTTGTATAACAGAAAAGCCAGGAGTGTGTCCAATCAGTAACATAGGAGCGTGTGTTGAGTTGTGTTCCCAAGACGGTAACTGTCCAAAAGATGAGAAATGCTGCAGCAATGGATGTGGACATCAGTGTATGCCTCCATATAAAGGTATTTATATTGTTATATTAATGTGAATTCAATTAGTTCTTAACATTTTAAAATGCAGTGAGGGTTCAGTGATCTGTTTTCTCGATCATGTGTTGTATAACAGAAAAGCCAGGAGTGTGTCCAAGCAGTAACATAGGAGCGTGTGTTGAGTTGTGTTCCCAAGACAGTAACTGTCCAAATGATGAGAAATGCTGCAGCAATGGATGTGGACATCAGTGTACGGCTGTATCTAAAGGTATGTTATACTAATTCATTGGTCAGCTTTTTTCCCCCTGTTACAGTGATTTGAGTCATTCAGTGATCTGGTTTCCCTGTTGTGTTTGTATAATAGAAAAGCCAGGAGTGTGTCCAAAACCCAATCCTGAAGATGATATGATGGGACCGTGTATTGCGTTCTGTTCCCAAGATGGTAACTGTCTGAATGATGAGAAATGCTGCAGCAAGAGATGTGGACTTTATTGTATGTCTCCATATAAAGGTATTTATATTGTTATATTAATGTGAATTAAATTAGTTCTTAACATTTTTAAATGCAGTGAGGCTTTCAGTGATCTGCTTTTTCTATCATGTGTTTGTATAACAGAAAAGCCAGGAGTGTGTCCAAACAGTAAGTTTGGAATAGGAGTGTGTGCTGATATGTGTTCCCAAGATGGTGAGTGTCCGAATGATGAGAAATGCTGCAGCAATGGATGTGGACATCAGTGTACGGCTGTATCTAAAGGTATGTTATACTAATTCATTGGTCAGCTTTTTTTTCCCTTATTACAGTGATTGAGTCATTCAGTGATCTGGTTTCTCTGTTGTGTTTGTATAACAGTAAAGCCAGGAGTGTGTCCAAAGAGATTCCCTGGAGTAGGATTGTGTAAAGGGTTGTGTGTCAATGACATTGACTGTCCGAAAGATCAAAAATGCTGCAGCACTAAATGTGGACGTGAATGTACACCTCCATTTTTAAAGGTATTTGTTATATTGATGCTTAGGTCCCCAACACCGTTTGAGTTATCATTTTCAACGGCAAAGTAACTGAATTTGGCCCATAGCACCATTTTCAAGCACATGGCTTTTCAGAATAATTAATACTATTTGAAATATCACAAAACACTGAAAGCATGAACAAGTTTTACTTTTAGAGCAAATTTAATTTATTTTTAACTTTTTTTTTTTTTTTTTAAATGCAGTGAGGCATTCTGTGATCTGCTTTCTCTATCATGTGTTTGTGTAACAGAAAAGCCAGGAGTGTGTCCAAACAGTAAGTTTGGAATAGGAGTGTGTGCTGATATGTGTTCCCAAGATGGTGAGTGTCCAAATGATGAGAAGTGCTGCAGCAATGGATGTAGCCATCAGTGTATGGCTGTATCTAAAGGTATGTTATACTAATTCATTGGTCAGCTTTTTTTTCCCTTATTACAGTGATTGAGTCATTCAGTGATCTGGTTTCTCTGTTGTGTTTGTATAACAGTAAAGCCAGGAGTGTGTCCAAAGAGATTCCCTGGAGTAGGATTGTGTAAAGGGTTGTGTGTCAATGACATTGACTGTCCAAAAGATGAAAAATGCTGCAGCACTAAATGTGGACGTGAATGTACACCTCCATTTAAAGGTATTTATATTGATGCTTCGGTCCCCAACACACACCGTTTTTGAGTTATAATTTTCAACGGCAAAGTAACTGAATTTGGCCCATAGCACCATTTTCAAGCACATGGCTTTTCAGAATAATTAATACTATTTGAAATATCACAAAACACTGAAAGCATGAACAAGTTTTACTTTTAGAGCAAGTTGTGTGTTTGAGTTTGAATGCATCTAAATGAACAGACTAATTCTGACTATCTGTATCCATGCAGTGATGCCTGATCTATGTCTCAAACCAAATGTGTGCTGATAACTCTTCCCATGATGATCAGTATGCTGCCAGACAGAAGTGTTGCCCAACCACCTGTGCATGCAGCTAACCATGCCAGTTTAACCATCGGGAAAAATTTCTTTTTTTTTTTTTTTTTTTTCCTCCTCTTCCTCTTTGCTATACTTGATCTTTTAAATTCATTAAATAAATCTCATAGCTTAGTGAAACGACGGTGTGTGTGTATATATATATGAATGTTGTTGGGGTGAAGTACAAATCTACCAGAAATTAAACCAAGATTGCAGGGTAACCCTAATGCGAGAGAAATGTAGTATTTGTGTAAACTGGTTTAATAGTTTTGAAAACTCAGTATTTAGCGAGTCAATATGCCTCTAAAAACTCCAGATTTGATCTTTTTTTTTTATCTAGTCCTGATGACTAATGTACTTGGTTTTTGTAATTTTTTTTTAAAATATGATTTAAAGACTAAAATGTAGTTTATAGTTTTATAAAACTGTTTTTGTGGAAACCTACCCTGCTCACACAGTATAAAGTATATTTGTGTAGGTCTTAAAGTTTTTTGTTTTTTTTTATAAAACGAGCAAGTAGTAGGCAGGTCACTAAACGGGTAATAGATAAACCCTGTAGAACACTTAAAACCCAATGGGCGCGCTTCAGGAGCAGCAGGACATTGTGTCACAGGTTTTCGTGACACATGCCACTGAAAACCGGAACTGTGCGTCAGATGTCATTTCTCTTAATGTTAAAATTGCTCCTCCGTCTTTGCCTCTGTCATTTTCATTTCGTCTTTCCTTTTAGGCCTGATAAAGTAGCTTGCATTTACAAGTCTGTGGGAAACAGTCAACAAACAAAAAGCATGCTTCAGAACTGTTTTGAGAAGGTGCTTAAGTTTTGATCCACGTATTATTACTATGAATTAGGCTACTACTATTATCATCTTGTGCCCTGCAATAATCATTTACTCAAACTCTCTTTTATGAGATAAAGGGGAAAAAAAATAAAAAATCGGGCAAAAAATCAGCATCATATATCGGCCATCGGTTGCCCTGATTTCTAAATATCTGCATCGGCCAGAGAAAAACCCTTGTCAGTCAACCTCTATTGCTGACTCTTAAATTAATTTTTGCACTTGTTATTAAAAGGTTCATATGATGTGATTTAAATTTTTCCTTTCTCTTTGGAGTGTTACAAGCTCTTGGTGCATAAAGAAGATCTGTAAAGTTGCAAAGACTAAAGTCTCAAATCCAAAGAGAGATTCTTTATAAAAGTTAAGAGTCAACCACACCTACCTAAAACGGTTCGTTCTAACACGCCCCCACATATCTATGTCACTATGTGGGAAGATTTGCATAATGCCGCCCAAATGTTCACGCAAAGAAAGAAGGCGTAACTTTTATTCTGGCTGTAGTATTGTTGCTGCCGCCATGTTGTGAATGCGCTGTGTGATTCGTTGTGAACGCGAAACTACTTTGTTTGGCCTTCCAAAAGAGGACGATATCTGCTTCGTCATGCCTAGAGCTGATCCGTGCTTGTTGCTGAGGAAATACAACAACTTTGCGCTGTGGATTGCCGGATTGGTTTTCACCGTGGACGAAGCGGAGTCCAGCCTGGAGTTGCCGCAAGCCTCCTTCGTCGAATGCTCACTCGAATGCTCCTCTGCTCACTCAGCCTGCCGGCCATTCCTCACTTTATCCCCCGGCCTCTGCTCACTCAAGGCCGCCGTGTGTGACGCTGTTTCATTGTGAAAGCGAAAATACTTAGTTTGGCCTTCCAAAAATGGACACGACTAGAAATCAGTGGTTAAGTTGTATTTACAACACTGTTCCAGAACACTTCAACCCAAATACTCAGATGTGTGCAGCACATTTTATGGAGGACTGTTCCTGGTAGAGTAGACTACAATTCAGGCTGTTCTGACTCAAAGACTGTAAGTATGTTTTTTATATTTAGAGTTTTTATATTTTATATATTTAAAGCAAGTTTTTTGGGCAGTGTAGAGTAGGGCTTGTTGTTTGTCATTTCTCCGATCACAAATGCAGACATGGTTTTATGTTTACGCAGCGCGATGCAACGCAACGAGTAAAAAGACAGTACAAGTCATTATAATCCATTATTATGTCCCCACTGGATGCAAGGAATGCCTCGTTTATAATGGGTTTTCATGTTTTTGAATCATAGCTCCGGCCGGACAGCGCATCACACAGTATGGTGAGGGGCGTAACATTTCCGTCACACGCTTGAGAAATTCGGCCAATCACAACGCTCTGGATAGCTGGCCAATCACAGCACACCTCGCTTTTCAGGCCGATGAGCTTTGTAAAAATCAACGCGTTTCAGAAAAGCGGGGCATAGAGGAGAAACAATAATGTACAGCATGTGGAAAATAATGTGTTTTTTTAACCTTAAACCGCACAAACACATTTCATTACACCAAATACACAAAATCCTGTTCTTTTTAGCAGCATCATATTACCCCTTTAATGTATTTTGAATGCAAAGGGCACGTTCTTTTTTCAAAAAATTAATGTTTATTTGTTATGCATGCTGTGTATGTTTATTAAAAACAAGTTTTGTAATAACCATTTGTTCCGGTCCGGACCTTTGACACTGATGAAAATTCAGATTTGGACCTTTGAATGTTGACTTTGAGACCCCCTGGTGTAGACTGTTTGTGAAGCTGTTTCAAACATAAAGCTTACATGACCGATGTGATTGTAATTTCAAAGGTTTAATAGACATAGCGGAATTGTCATTTAGGAATAAGATCACACGTGTTTGAATCGAGATTGCGATCTTTTAATTATTAATTGTGCATACATGAGCCTATAGACTATGTATATTTGTTATATAATAGGCTACCTCAAAAGTAACCCGGGGCCCAGGCCCAGGCCTCCTCTGCAACCCATGTATGTATATAGGTAGAGATGCAATGGTTCAGGTTTTGCATGGTTCATTACATATTGCGGTTTTAGGGTCACGATTTCAGTACGGTTCGGTTTGGGGGTGCATGGGGCCAAGTGAATATACACTATTATTTGGTAACAAACACTTGAACAGTTTGCCTTACCTTCAGAAAAGCTTTTTTAAAAATCATTAAATAAACATTTTTACTAAGCAGTTTTTTGCTCTACATTGAGTGCCAAAAACAACTGTTATAAACAGTGCTTTTAACATAAAAAGGAAGCAGAAGAACAAGGTAAATTCCCAAATTATAGATAAATAGAAACAAAGAAAAAAAAATAAACTGGTCAGAGGTAGAATGTTCTATAGGAACACATTCAGTGTTCTGAACATAGTTCACATGTTACTGTCATTTTTTCTGAAAATACAAGGGACTATTTAATATAATCTCATTATAGTTAATGTCCTTCAGAGAAATAAAATTTAAAGTCCAATTTGCTTTCTTGATGTTTAATTGCATAATATGAGTCACTTTGGAATATAAGCCACAGCACATTGCAGATGATAAAAAAATGCAACTTATATTTCAGAAAATATGTTACAAGATGTATGTGTAACAAGTGGTTCCCCGCATTATTACAACAAAACGTCTTGTGATTACAGTACTGAGCCGCTGCAATGGAGCAGCTCTAATGTGTACTGTGCTATTAAAATATAGATGAAATACGATAGAGCAATAAAATGATCTGTGAAAGTAACAAAAGCTTGTACGTTACCTTTTAATGGGCATGATTAAAGTCTGCGTGAACCAGAAGTTGCTGCTAACATTATTTCAGTATTGTGACGTATTTCCAACTGAAAAACAATATTGAATAGAGGGAGGGTTTTATTTTAGCACTCCTCCTCTCTGTCTCTTACTTAAGGATAGCAAAATAACGACTGGAGGGGCGTGGTTAAGGATATTGTGCCCAAGCTGTCAAACTAACGTCATGTGGACTTAGTGTGGTAAGTGTGAAAATAACTGAAGGAAATATCTATTTGCTAAATGAAGCCATCTAACATGATTAATAGTCTTTGGTTTCTGTACCCATTTTTTTTTTCTTTTTTTTTCCAAATGCAATGAAATAACAGGTATTGGCATTGGCAAGTACCGGTACCGGACTTAGTGTTAAAACTGACATCGGTGCATCCCTTATATACATATTATAATATAACTCTAAATACAGATAATTAGTACAATATTTAATTAATCAACTTCATGCATGGAGCCTTTACAAAAAAAAGAGGGGATGGTATAAACAATATCTTACTGCTAAGTTTAATAATAATTTGCTTTGACTTCAATACAGTGACAGTAAAAAACAATTATCTAATTTTATAAACAATGACTATATACTCTATATAAATAATGTGATGATGTGAATTAATAAATGGTTATCCATATAATCAATGTTCAGCCTCTAGATTAGATCAGCAAATCAAGCCACTTAATTAATTCCATTGACATGTAGCCAAATCAACAGATGAGATCACATTTTCTCTTTCCTTTCCTTGCCATAACAAATGTGCTTTATAAACACAGTTACAACAACCAATAAAAAAAAAGAAGAACAAAAGACAAAGAATGAAAATCAGGGATCAAGAGACCAACTAAAGTGGATGATAACCATAATGATGACTTCATCTAAACCTCTGTTAATTCTCAATTAATTATCTGTTAATTTGTAATAAGTAAAGGTGGTAATTCGGAACCCCTTAACTGTCACTGTCCCACCTGTGGGATGCTTGGCGCTCTTTTTCTTGTTGTCCTTTTTCTCTATCAAATATTTTAGTAAACATCATACATTATATATCATTTGAAATCTTAGAAGCCCAAGATTCATGCTGTAAAAAACATTTTGAAATCGGACATTGCGTTACCATGGAAATTATACTTTAAAATATTTTGGCGTTCTCCTCCCCCTTAGTGGGCGGTGTCAAGTGTCATATTACAAAATGCATTATGGTCTTTTAGAATCAAACCTTTTTATAATCTTGACAAAAAACATATCATTGGAAAGTTCTGAGCCTCAGGATTCCATATTTGGTGGTATTTTGAGATAGAAGTAATATTGACAGAGAAATGTAGACATTTGTGACAGAAAAATGCATTTAAATAATTCAATGGAGTTTGGATGGCACCCGGGGGCTGTTTGTGGTATAACGCCCTAAATAAATCTCACAGGAACCTCAATTTTTTTTCATTTCAACTTCAAATTTGGAACATAACTTATTTAGACATAAGGCTTTAATTTTTATACCAATTTTAGAGTAAAACCTGTTATGTAAAATATTTATTATATATAAAATAAAATGTATATAGTGTATTTTATTTACAGTAAATTTAATCTATAACTTTTTGATACTTAAATTTTTTGAAAAAAATTCCACTTTTGCAATAATCTGAAATCTCAAAAAGAGACCAACCTTAGGTCTGTATTCCAAAGTGTTCATAAATTACAACAATTTAAGTTTGGATAGTGACTTTCATGCCTATTTTAAAAAATGGGGGGTGACAGTTAACAAGTTACTAGTAACTTAGGTACTATAATAATAATACTTTTGCAGTAACTAGTACTGTAGCTAATTACTAATAAGATTTCAGTAATAATATTGCAGTTACCATCCATAAAACAGCTTAGTTACTTGGTTACTTTTGATGCCTCAACCCAGCAGATTTAAAATCCAACAATCAAATCATTTCTAGATTTATTTTCATAATTTTCACGACTCGCACATGCATGTGATGTCCCCAGTGCAGCAGGTAAGCTTGGAATATGGAAAAGCTGACATTCAGCAGACAGAAAATGCATTAAATGGAAAAAAAATATGATCTGAACACTGTTGTGTAAGTTGTGGCTAGTGCTGGGCGGTATACCGGTTCATACCGAATACTGGTGTTTATTTTTGTTATGATATGAATTTTTAAAATACCGCAATACTGGTGTATGTCGCTTAAACAACTGACCGCCACAAATATCCACCGACCCCTGCCATCAGCTCCCGTGTCTTACACACACACACACACACACACACACACACACACACACACGAGCGTGACTTTAACACTAGATTTAGCAACTTTCAGACCCTTTTAGCGGCTTTTCCCCCATAGAATAGTCATACTGTGTAGATGCATGTTGATTTTATCAGACGATGTCGCGATTATAAATGAGAGTGGCTCCTGGTTAACATGTATTAAAAGGGGTCGTGTTTCACTATTTAGTGTGGTATTTTTTGACAATATTCACTCATCATGACAGTAAAATAGGGCATTCTAAGTCAATATACTGCAGTATTTCCTCTCTCAATCAGTAGAAAATATGGTTAACACCCGGTCATGCATGAAAAAAAAATACCGTCATGTGCCGTGAAACCGGTATAATTTTGAAAAATACTGTGATTTACATTTTTGGTCATACCACCCAGCACTAGTTGTGGCTGTACTTTACTCTGGCATTACATCCCACCCACATCCCTCTGATCAGCATGTGGTACATTATATTACTATAATTAAAAATATTTTTGGAAAATTAAAGTTTCTTACAAACTTATGTGATTTGATCAAATACATAATGAAATATAATCGTATATGGGTAACGGAGAAATTACAATTAGCTTCAAGCTACACATGACAATTAATGAGATTAATACAACACTTCTACTTGAATGTCACTATCAATCACTATTGAGTGGTTGTAATAACTTCTGACTGCGATCCCATGTGGATTTTGGTCAAATGAGGCAGAAATATGTTGTTAGTAACATTCTAGAAGAATTTTATGTGGAAGATACACAGTTACAACTTCTGTGGGGCGTGAAGAAAAGGTAATATTACTAGTAGTGTAACTAATTACTGTTGCCAGAAAGTAATAATTAAAGTAACAATATTACTTTTGAAAGGAGTAACTAGTAATGAGCAATATATTACATTCTTTGTAGCCCAACACTGACTATGACATCTTGAGAGAAAAACTGAAGGATCATGTGTGTTCATTCAAAGAAAGGTTTTCCTATTAATTAATTAGCAAAGAAAAGTCCTTCCCTTGTGGATTTTCCTTATGGGCAAGGAAGGGATTTTCTTCACCTAAATTCCAGGAAGTCGTAAACGTATCGGGTGTCAGCATTGCTATGGACTAGGGGCCTGTTCAGCTTCCTGGGGTGTTACAGAGTATTTGTTAAATCTAGCTAACAAAATATATATTGTGTGTTTGAGTGGTCCAGACGCTACAAATGTGTTCTTGAGTTTTTTCAGTTGGTGGCACTAATGCACCTAAAGCTGGTCTGCCAACCTCCAATAAACAGAAAAGATGAAGAAGAAGAAGACAACCCCATCGCCCAGTGTTGCCAAGTCCACGGTTTCCCAGTGAAATTGGGCTACTTTAACACTGTTGTTTTTCATGTCCACGGTTTGAAGCAGGGGAATTGTAGCAGGGGAACTCCTCGAAAGGCTATTGGGATAGTTTTGGGCTAGTTTTGAGTAGCGATTGGGCGGGTTTTCTTGTGAAAACCTGGCAACCCTGCACCATTGTGTTGAGTCTCAGTGTTGAGTCAGCGTTGAGGTAAGTTGAGCTATTAACTCGCTGTGCTTTGTATATTTACAGTCATAAAAATAAAAACAATTTATTTAAGTCATATTTGTTTTAGTTCATTTATGCATTATTTTATTTGAGCAATGGGGGAACAGCCACTTTTTGGTTGTTAAAAAAAGGTGCGCTCATTCAAAACAGTTGTGTTCGATCCTTCGCTGGCTGTGCTGATTTAAATCTGGCGGTTCTTTAGTGTTTGTGTCACAAGTTCAGTGACGCAGGTAGTGACGATTCTCTCCGGCCAATCCGTGATCAGCAGAGTTTACACATCACGTTTTGGTTACGGTACGGTTCACTTGGAACCCCAACCGAGGTGGTACTAAAAAAAGTACCAGGTACCAGGTACTGTGCCCAGTGGAAAACCCCCCAAAAGTGAACCGTACCGATCCGTACCGTGCCGTACCATGCAGTGGAAAAGCGCCAAAAATCACACAGAATGAAGTTTTTTGAAAATCTAAAAATGCAGAAAGTTTCCTGTGAGGGGTAGGATATGAATAGAATATGTGGTCTGTACAGTAGAAAAACCATTACGCCTATGGAGAGTCCCCACAAGGATAGTAAACCAGACATGAGTGTGTGTGTGTGAGGAGGTATGCAGGGGAGTAATCAAGTTATTCTACGATTATGATCATAAGTTTACTGCAGGAGAGTAAAATGTGTACATTGTGTAAGGTCCACGCACTTGGCCCAATGAAGGTATCCAGTGGTGGATGAAGGTTTCTTGCGTGTTCGGTCTTTTCAGCGCGCAAAGTTATTCAATTTAGGTTTAACTCAAATCTGACTCCATTTTATTATCTAATCTGACTCCATTTTAGTATGACCTCGAATTTAGATTGAAAGGCAAATTGGTTGTTTGTCGGTCTCTAATTATTATTATTACTCTTCTGACATTTGATTATTCTAGTTAACTCTTTACTTTATATTTACTCGTTCATTAGGAATCTATGTCGCTCAGGGTGCCTCACGGCGGCCGCTCGACGTGGGCCCCACGATCACAAACTCGCCAGTCTGATCATTAGCCAGAGGTTATGACTAATACTATTTAATAGGTCGCCCATGCTTACCATTCTTTAAATAGTAGTTCTGTTTAGCCCCCTACAGTTACCCATGTACAACTTAGTTAAAGCTCAAAACAATAATCAGCGGTTATGCTAGAACCCTTTGTCTAGCCCCCGATAGTTAATATAACTATGTACAACTTAATTAAAGTTGAGACAATAACCAGCGGTTATGACCAGTACTATGACTAGTCCCCCATAGTTAACACAACTGAGTACAACTTAACTAAAGTCAAGCAGTTAGTCAGAAATCTATAATCTCACCTGATGTGCGCCATGCTCCATCTAACCTGAGATCTAGTATGCACTTAACCCTGGACGCAGATTTGCGGAAACATGCGCCTTCACTTAATCTACTTGAGAAAATAATTTCAGAGTAAGTCAGAATAAATCAAATGTAACAATTTATTATCAGTCAGGTAAATATGTATTATGCAAATTATCTACAGCCAATTCAAAGATATCAAATCAATACAAGACATCAAAATCTCAAAGACGAATCTAAGAGTAAGATGCATACCTGACTTTTAGGAAAATACATAGTATGAAGTGTGTGGACACACTTCATACTACGGGCTTTCTGACTACAGAATTACCCTGACCCTTTTGCTGCAATCCTTTAAATACAAAACCAAGATAAAACATCCCCCAAATGGAGGCATGTACAAACAATTGGAATTTGCATTAACCCAGGTCCCAGACCTGGGTGGTTTACACCTCAATGGGAACAGAAGGTAATTTACATGGAAGACCCTGGGAGAGGGCACTCCCATTACAGTAAGCAAAATATCTCTTAACTCTTAGGATCTGTATTATCCTTTAGTCTACTTTTGTAAGATTAAGACCCATTGTACCACTCGCCCTGAGACTATTCAAATGATACCAAACATGACTGTAAATCTTATTTGCATTCATATAAAACATTATATTCTACCATTGACCATTCTGACTGAGCTGGGTGAAGAGAAGGATGGGTGAGGGGAAGGAAGGGGATGAGGAGGAACCAATGCATATGTGAGAGACGTTTTCCTGCATTTTCTCTCAGTGAGATGTGGAAACAGATGTCTGTATGTTAATGCACTGTGTGTGTATTGTCTGTCTCAGAAGATCAAAGTGTCTGAGGTTCTGTAATTCTTACAATTAATTGTATGGGGGTAGAAGGAGTTTGTATGAAATGGATTGAACACGCCTTGAGGAAAGACTATATAAAGAGTGTGCAGAGTCAGACACAGACTCGACAGATTCTCTGCAGAGTCTCTTGGCTTCATTGTGGACAGACAGGAGGCCTCAATTTATGTTAGGATAAAGGAAGAGGCCCCATACACAGCTTTATCGAATGGTGCAGCTATACCATAACATGTATGTCAGCACATTCCATTCTAAGGGTTAGGGTTCATATATTTTTCTATATATCTATATAGATATCTACCTAAATGTTAGGGGTGTTATATGTATGAGTGATTGAAGTGATATGTGAGTGTGTGTAGGGTGTGTAGAGTAAAATTGAGTAAAATTAGTAAATGTGTCATTTAGTATAAAACCAAATAAATTTTAAAAAATGATTTTTTTTTTTATTTCTGCAGATCTGCTCCTCCTGCCACTCAGTAGTTCACTTTGAATTAAGCTTCTCCCATGGCAATTCACCAATAAATTCTGGAATATTCCCACTGGTCTGTGAGTGAAGAAGGTAGAGTTTGTGAAAGAACATTTGGATCACTTTACCCAATTCATGGAAGTTTCCATATAACTAATTTATTTTAAAACAGTTGTATAGCTGTTGTCTACTTTCTGCTATGACTTTAGGGTTGACCTTTATGTCTTTTCCTTCACATTTCTATCTTTTTTTTTACTGAAAAAAAACCTTTTAACTTTCATTTTAGGCCTGATGGAGAAAGAGGAGAGTTAATATCTGAATGACATGGAGAAACATCATGTCCAAACTAGAGACATATTTGAGTTACTCACTGAAAAGAAGGGCCAAAAATATTTGACATGCCCTCAGTGTGGAAAGACCTTTATTACAGCTTACAAATTGAAACCGCACCAGAGTTTTCATGCTGTGACAGGTGGTCAGGACCTCTGAAAATGTATGATGTAGGTATGTAGGATCCACACTGGAGAAAAACCGCACACGTGATCAGTGAAGAGAAAAGTTTTGCCTATGCAAACACTCAAATTACATTATTTAACTCAATACTCAATGATCAATGCTGTAAGCAATTTCTTAGGGCAGAATCTCTGAAGAACCACCTGAAAGTTCATACAAAGGAGATGCCTCACGTGTTCTCTGTGTGGAAAGGGGTTTTCACTGATAGATTATTTAAAATTATACCAGAAAAGACACAGTGGAGTGATGGATCATATGTGCTTTGATTGTGAGAAGGCCTTTATTACAGCTGATAAACTGAAAGAGCACCTAAGAATTCACACTGGAGAGAAACCTTACAAGTGTTCACACTGTGACAAGAGATTCAGTCGGTCAGTAAAATCATGAGAGGATCCCCACTGGAGAAAAACCTTACAAGTTTTTAACGCACTTACAAGTGATAAGTGACATATGCTCTGCATTTATCCCATCCTTAGTGCACACACACGGAGCAGTGGGCAGCCATTTTTATGCTGTGGCACCCAGGGAGCAGTTGGGGCTTCGGTGCCTTGCTCAAGGGCACCTCACCTCAGTCGTGGTATTGAAGGTGGGAGAGAGCGCTGTACATTCACCCCCCCCCCCACCTACAAACCCTGCCAGTACGGGGCCATTAACGAGATGCAAACCCACAACCTTTGGGTTACGAGTCCGACTCTCTAACCATTAGGCCACGACTTCCCCACACTGTGACAAGAGATTCCGTCGTCTAGAAGCTCTGAAAATCCACGAGAGGATCCACACTGGAGAAAAACTGCACACGTGTAATCAGTGTGGAAAGAGTTTCGCACATGCAAAGACTCTTAAATCACATCTGTGTTCTCATTCTGGAGAAAGACCATTTTACTGTGATATGTGCGGTATAACTTTTTTTTACGGCAAATGTGCTGAGAGACCACCTGAAAATTCATACACAGGCGAAGCCTCACATGTGCTCTTTGTGTGGAAAGAGTTTTAGTCAGCGAGGTGCTTTTAAAATGCACCAGAAAAGACACAGTGGTGTGAAGGAACATGTGATCATGTGTGCATTGATTGTGGGAAGACTTTTGTTAGAGATGCTGAACTGAAACTGCACCAGAGAACTCACACTGGAGAAAAACCTTATAAGTGTTCACATTGTGACAAGAGCTTCAGTCGGTCAGAAACCCTGAAAATGCATGAGAGGATCCACACTGGAGAGAAGCCTTATCACTGCCCTCCATGTGGGAAGAGTTTCACTTGTTCACGTTCTCTACTATGCCATCTAAAAAACACATGTTTGGTATATGGTAGCATATATTATCAACTAGAAGTTGTTCCCTCAATAGGATCTCATGGCCACGACATATTATCACATTCCCACGAATTAATATCTCGTGACCACGACAAAACTAAACCAAAAAGACTCAAGCTTCATTTTTTAAAAAGACTTACAGTTACAGTCATTTCTTAATTTATGCCAGGAGTTATGCAAATGAAAAACGAAGTCGAGATCGATATGAAGCTTGAGTCGTAGACCTTTTTAATGATGTAAGTTAGTTTATGAAGTTAATTGCATCTTTTAACATTAAAACTAGCAGTAACTCTGAACTCATGTAAACAAAGAACACTTCTGTGTGCTGGCGTCCTCCCACAGGTTAAGAGATTTTAAACAAACACATTTAGTTAACCAAATGAAACAATACATGTTTTAATGCTATAAAAGTGTGCACATTGTGAGAAGTAAACAGCAGATGTTCATGTTAACAACTTCTTTAACTTGAGCAAACACTGCTAATACACATATACATTTGTTAATAAAGTTAATAAAACGAAAACATGCATGTTTTAATGCTAGAGAATAAACGGAAACGATCCACCCGCATGCCTCTGCTCAACGATGGTGTCTGGATCAATGAGCTCAATGCTTGCTGGGCATCGACTCTACCGTGCGACTCCACCGGGCAGGGACACCGGCAAAGGATAAGTATTGCTTTTTATTTCTCCTCTTTCCTATTACTTGTTTCACTTCTGTTTCAGTTTTTTTTAACCATTTCTTACTATGTGTTAGGATAACTGATAAACAAGAAGTCGTGGTCTAATGGTTAGAGAGTTGGACTCGTAACCCAAAGGTTGTGGGTTTGAATCTCGTACCGGCAGGGATTGTAGGTGGGTGGGAGTGAATGTACAGTGCTCTCTTCCACCTTCAATACCACGACTGAGGTGCCCTTGAGCAAGGCACCGAACCCCCAACTGCTCCCCGGGCGCCGCAGCATAAATGT